CCCCCGTCGGCAAACTGCGCCCAGGACATCTTCAGAAATGAATGTTGGGCATTGTATTGGCCATTGGGTGGTGCGGGGTTGTGGCTTCGTTGTGAGCGGGTCGCCCTCTCCTCACGTACCTTTGAGCTACGAAATTGGATCATCTTCCATGCTTGCGGGCAGGACTAACATGTTCAAAGGAGGCACCTGAACATCAAATGAACGAAGCGTCCTTTCAATCCAGAAGAGTGGTTTGCTCCCATTCCTCGCTTGGGTACAATAACCATTGGGTCCCACTCAAAACCATGGAGACAGTTCATTGTATTTCGCTCACAGGAAGAAGTCTTGCCACTAGCCGATTCGGTGCGCTTTGGTTATACTCAGGGGTCGTTTCTTTCAGTCCCGCATAAGTACGATAGCTATCAACTGACTCCGGACGAAGCAAGCTGATGTTTGCTTGACGTGAGCTGTATCTGTACTCTCTTACCTATAGAAACGGGCCAGCGGTGACCTGATAAAGGGGCAAGGTTCCGATATTGATCAATCCTGGTGAAGTGCGCTTTCCGCGCTCAGACGACCGATGGTGTGCCGAATGGCCCGACTGTGTCCAGAGAACAATGAATCGCGAGGTCGGGCCGATGTACAAGTCAACGTTTTATCCTGCCATGCGTGTCTGGTATAATATCCGATCCTGATGGTATAGGCGGTTTGTTTGGGCGAGGCAGTAGCAACTTTGATCCCGACCGTGCTCCTGGTAAACTAGCCCTCGTGCACTGCCACCACCACCTCACCGGAGGTCTAAGACTCACCATTATTCTACATCCCTTACAAAAACTAATAGAAAAACAGGTTCTACAAAAAGCAAGACGATGGGATATTTCAGAATAATCGAGGCTACACGGAGACTTTGACTATGCTACACGTTCGTCCCAAAGCCTTGGTCAAGTACCCGCAAAAGAACGGATATGTACCTCCATCACAAAAGATCAACCGAATACAAAACACCTACGGAACATACGACGGTAACGCCGAATTTCTTGAAATATCTGTTGCCAGCATTGCTTTGTAATCGCTTGAAGGTGACGGAAAGAATTCGCCCATGTTTGAATATGAACAACGGCGGCCGCAAAAGCACGAGACGACAAGGCTGGTGACACCACCTCCAGCGAAGCGCTTCCAGCAGGCTCACCGGCAGGAAGAGGTATCTTTGACCAGATTGCTAGCGCAAAGAAGACACTTTTCGTTTGCTAGTCTGAAGCAGAGTGAATGAAATCAAGTGAAATGTAAGAAAAAGATTTTTAGGAGCATCTGGAACGGTACGACATGGAACAGCAACAGAAAGCTGCTGGTCATCTCCTCACTTATACCAAACGCCTCGTTCGGCGGTCGCGGGCTGCACGGAGACACCGGCCAGATTTTGAGGGATATAGTGACAGCCGTGGCCGTCAAAAACCAGGATAAAAGGAGGCGGGTTTTCCTTGGCAAGCAGTCCTTTTCTGGTCGTATTGTGAAGCAATTAGTGAGTGGTCTTGTAACTACCCCTGATGTATAACCAATTAGTGACCTACTGGACAGTCCTTATACGGAGGCCGTCGAACAAAATCTGATGGCTGGCCTCATTCAGAGCAAATCAAATGCCAGAGGACATATGCCAATTCCTTGGGGTCTAATGCTGTGAAGCGTATAAGCCTGATAGCTTTTTCACTTTAATTTTTTGCTCTTGACTGCGTTTTCTCGTCCGTGTGGCGCTCGAATCACCGTAGTCTCACACATCACCACCCTTCGCGTATGATGAACGGGCTGCTCGCACTCCCCTTTTCAGACAGTCTGACTTCTGGCTCGTCACGTGCTCCTTTTAACCTTGCTGTGACAACTGCTTTTATTCATCCCTCTGCACTATAAGCTTTCGCGGTAAGACCATGCCAAAAAGCTTCGGGTGCCGACATGAGCGCTCCTCTGTCTAAGGGTCGGAGTACATTAGCACTCCAATGAGTTTCTTTCGCTTTCAATTTAAGATCGCCTTGTTTTTTTTATTGTTTCTAATGATTTAATGTAAAATGAGTAATTCTCGTACATGTTCAGGTTGGCCTGCTCCTACTGTGGAATGGACCAAAGACGGTGTACCGATCACGAGAACGTCGCTTCCTGATCTCGATATTAGCAATATTGGGGGCCGAGTCTCGCTGTTTTTCAAGGTCGGTTAATCGCCCAAATAAGGTTCTATGTCGAATTACTTCCTATTTCAATTTTACCGGCTTTTTGGAAAATACTTTATTTTCTGGGGTGAAAAAACGTGTTATTCGTTGGAATAGTTGCAGCTAAACAGATAAGAATGATTGATTGAAAGAATGAATGAATTATTCCCTTTTATTATGGGATCCTATTTGCCACTGCAGCTAAAGGCAAAGTCCGCGTTGACCGTGTGGGCGGGATCCTCAGACATGGTAGGGCAAGTCTCCCTGGCATCCCTCTCTTCTGATAAAGTAATACGGATACGAGGGGCGTGCTACCAGGAAAGACATGGATGTCACAGCTGACGACCATTATGACTGCTTCGTATAATTTACAGTTCTCAAACCTTCAGGCTGAAAAACGAAGCGTTTACTAAGTGACACCTGAAGACTTCAGAGCCAGGCTGCAATTCTGATTTCACTATTCAAACTTGTGGCAGTACGTGCGGCCGCACGCAACAGAGATTACTAAGGAACTCATGATAAGAGAAAACTCCTCAGGAATACTGCCAAATGTATGAAGGGACTCAGCGATCCTTTTTTATCGCTTTGTGCTGGTTACTAGAAGGATATTTTGTTGCATTTGTATGACCCCATGTGCGTGCAGCACACTTATACTGGTAATTCCGTTCATGCGCGAAAAATCGGTATTTTCAGAAGTGTAGCACTGTGCACAGTGGAAAGTACATGTGTACAGCAAGGAATGCAAGTGGAGTGGCGACGAGTAGTGCCCAACTGGTAATAAGACGTGAGTAATTAGCTAAATCCTTGCATACCAAAGATTATGTCGCTTATTTTGGAACGACGTACACCTCTATTCTCAGCTTCAGTACTACTGTCCCAGCACCTACAATCCATAAGCTGGAGACGACGAAGGCTTGCTCAGGAGTTAGCTCTAGTTAGACAAGCAACGTGATCATAGCAGAGCGCGGACTTGACAAGAGAGAGTCAATACTTTTCCACCCCTCTGTGCAGGAATCGGCAGCTCTCCACAAATACGTAGAGCCGCTGCCGTGCTCAGATTCATATCCGTGGATACGCGTTCCCATCTCCGCGTGGAGGCCTGTATTCCGCGTACAACTAGAACCGTGGACGCTTACCCTGATATGCCGCTGCTGTTTTGACAATTTGTCCTTCAAGACACATTCCGCGACGTGGTAGATAGTACCATTCCTTGGGCGGGTAGCCCGTTCAACAACCGCAGGAGTTTCCCCACTTGTGGATCCATACTGAGGGACGAATGTAAACCAAAGATACGCTCCGTGGGAGGTTGGGACGAGATATGCTAACAGTCCTTCTTCTATAAACCCCGGTTCCGACTCATTCTTCACATTCTATGTGGGACCGACTTGTCGCCTCTCTCGTCCTCTGGCTCATCTCCTTGTTCTCCCACTCTTTGGTCTCTCGCTCCTGCAGCTCGTGCAGCACGGTAATTCTGGAGCTTCATTGAGGGCGTCTTCAACTGCTACATGCACCCTTTTCAGACTACTAGTAAAT